TTTGCATTCTGGGCCCAGGGAAACCAAGTCCCACAGTTTGAGGTGGTAGGACAGAATCTGAGAGCCTGTCCTGCCTAGAATGCTCACTTGACAGGGGAAACTCTGAGACCCTGGCCTAACCTTGCCTATTAACATTCCCCACTGAACTGAATTGGGATTGTTGTGTTTTAGCAAAGTCTCTGATTTGGGGGCCCTATGCTGCTGCCTCTCAGTTTCTTGGTGTCAAGCCACCTCGGCCTCATAGCCTTGGAGGTTGGGGAAACCGAGGCCTGGGGAGACAGGAACATAGCACCAGACTAGGGCCTCCAATTTTCCATGCCCCTGCCCTTCCTCTTAGGTTCATAGTTTTTGCTCTGCCAGCCCTTAGGTGGAGCAGGATTTGCAGGGAGTGTCCCCAACATGAGGACTTCTCAAGGCAGGAGGAAAAAAAAAAAAAAAAAAACTGGCTTTGTTGATTTTTCCCTCATTACTTTAGGCTGAACAAGCAAAGGAGATGGGGGACTCAAGAATCATGAGTGTATGTCTTTAAGGGATGGAGCCAGGTGGCCTGGGCTGTGGAAGCATCTAGAAGCAAAGTTGGTGCAGGTGATTCAAGCCGGAGGAGAGAAGGGTGAATTCAGAGCAGGAGAGCAAAGCAGGAAGCGGGTGGAGCTGTTCCCCAGGCAGCGGGCAGACAGAGGGCCAAGGGGCGGGCCTGCCTCCAGTCCAAAGATGGGACAGTAGAGCAGAAATTCAGGGAAAAAGACGCTAAACCAATTACCAGGAAAAGGAGCTGGAAAGGAGGCAAGTGTTTTCTTAGTCCTTAAGGAACTTCAGTCTTCAGAGAATTTAAAGAGGAAAAAAATCTATCTTTAAGGCCTTTCTCTAAGGCAGGGTGGCCAATGAATCACTCATTGCTGAGGAAGGTCCTGGAAGGCTCTCCCCTCAGCTCCTGCCTCTCCCCAGTGAGCAAACCCAGTTCATCTGGGGTGAGTGGAAAGGGCCCTTGGTTGGAAGCCTGGAGGCCCAGCTCTCAGTCCTAACTCTGTCTCATGCAGTGGGGACCCAGGATAAGCCAGCCATAGTCCCAGGCCTGGTTTCCTGTGGAAGAAAGGAGTGCAAGTTCCCTGAGCCTTAGTATTCTCATCTGCAGATTGGGGTTGCTTATGACATCATCTTCTCCTGAATCTTATATGTCATTAATGTATGGTGCATCCATTATTTTCTGTATATTAAGGGGAAAAAATCCACTAAACTGTGACATACCATCAATTATAAGACACAGTCTGACTTCAGAGATATTAAAATGTACAAAAAGTGCATCTCACAATTGATCACTATGATACTTATCTTACAAACTTGTTCCGAGAATTAAAAGAGATAATGTATTTAGTGCCTGGCACAAAGCAAGTTCTCGATAAATGTCATGTATTTTTATGGTTCAGGGTGGAGAGAGAAAAGAATACCAAGATGAGTGACAGCTGTGGTCTGAAGGTCCCCACCACCACCACCCTGCTGTTTCCTGGACTCCAACTGCAGCCCAGGCTGGGGGCACAGGGAGAGCAGTCATGCAGCCCATTTTAGGGAGCCACAAGAGAACAAAGAGCTCCGTCTGCACCCCGGAAGTCAGCCTAATCTCCAGGATGAATATGTTTTCATTTCTCAGAAGTTCCTGTTGGAGTGTGCCAAAGTGTTTTTCCTTTACGATCCAGGCAAACAAGGCAGGTTTACTTTGGGCGACCTTCTCACTACCACCCCAGGCCTGCCTTCCCCATGTAAACACCCACCTCGCACCCTCCTGGAGGCTCCAAGAAGACCTGGAAACCCAATGCCAGGCTTTTCCCCAGCTCCCCAGGCCCTGCTTGGTGAGGGAACATTTAGAAGATCCTTGGCAAGGCAGGACCCTAAGGGGCATGAGCACTTCCCCATCATATAGCTGTGAAAACTAAGACCCAGAGAAAGTCAGAGACTCCCCCAGGATGTAAGTGTGTGACAGTCCCCTGCCAAGAACCCAACTCCTCTAAACATGGGCACACACACACACACACACACGCACAGACACACACCATTCCTGCCGTTGCTCATAGATCAGCCTGGCAGGACCCTTTCTCTGCCCCCTCCTCCAGTGTGTGTGTCACTGATGTCACTGACAGTGTCAGGATGCCTTTATGCATGAGGCTTTTGCTTCACAGCTGGAGCAGCTGCCAAGAGCATTAACCAGGTGTTCCTAAGTCCTTAACGGGAAGGGCTGCCACCCATGCTTTCCCTGCTCTGAAGTATCCGGGGATATGGAGGTGGTGTTCACAGACACAAGCCTGGCCTGGGGGTGGGGGATGGGGGTGGGACCAGGTCCAGGGACCAGGAGGGAAGAAACAAACCCTTTCTGTTGGGTCAGAACTCAGACTTCAGACCCAGTGAGCCATGTCATTCTATCTCCTGGAAAATGTTGAAGAGATAAGATAGGGTGGGTGTGTTGCTCAGTGGGAGAGCACTTGCCTCCAATGCATAGGCCCTGGGTTCAATCCCCAGCTTAGGAGGAAAATGGAACAGATGCATTGCTGACCACACCCTACAGAAGGCTGCAGGGGCAGCTGGCACAATACTTGTCAGTGCTTGCCCAGAATAGAGCCTCAATGTGACCATCAGTACCTATTGTGTAGGGTGTTGGAGTTTCATAGGCCTCGTGTTACTCTTAGGCGCCGGCTGCCCTACTGTGCAAGCCTTTCCCTCTCCTCTACGTACTGTTCCCTCTGTCCAGAATGCCTTTCCTCCATTTTGCCCTACAGTGACCCCAGTTCATGATTCAGCTCTCAGCTTACCCGTGACTTGCCTTACCCACAGTCACATCACACTTTGTATTTCCTCACAGTCCTTACCACTATCGGAAATTATCATCTTTAAATTTTTTTCCCCATATTTTCTTCCACCCACCTCTGAAGTCCCTCATTCGCTTAGGGATATAAGTTCTGAGTCACAACACCGCCAGTGAGTGCCTGGTCTAGGGACCATTCATAGTAGATGCCCAATAATACGTAGAATGCATGAATCAGTCCTCCGGCATCCTCATCTCAGCCAGGCTTTGCCATCCCCTTCATTCCAGGAAAGAAAATGATCACGTTCTTACTTTACGCCAGGCTCTGCCCTGCCTCTTCCCTCTCTGTCCCTGCCACCCTCCTCCCTGTCACCGGGATTTCTCTGGGGAGATCCTGTCTCTCAGACTCCAGGAGTGCCGGAACCAGAATGTCTCCCCAGGATTATTTTCAATGGTTTCCTGGGGTGTTCACCTGGGTAAGAAAAAGGAAAGACAGGACACTCTAATCCTACTTATCTAAAACTATATAATCTTCCCCAATCATTTAAATGGTACCTGTGTCTCTAATTACAGAGCAGGCTGGGGGGAACACTGGCACAACTTCCAGCCAGCCTCAGGCAGAGGGACTCCAGCTCAGGAGCCAGGACTCCAGACACCTGCTGCCACAAGCTCATCCACAATAGACTGGCTTGTCATCCAGCCAGTCACCACTCCCCTTGCCCTGAGAAGGATCAGCCACATTCTCAGTATTTTAATGGGCCCCCGGTTAGCCAGATACAATGCATTTGGGGAAAATACCCATAGCCCCAGCACCCCAATTCTACTAGCCATTGTTTTTGTTTTTTACAGTGCTGGGGATTGAACCTGGGGCCTCCACACCCTAACCCTGTTCTGAAAGTGAACTGATGTCTTTTGGGCCCAGCCTAAACTTCTCAGAGTGCATTGCTGGAAAACCAATCCCCAGAGCATGGGCTGCAATCCCAACTTCTCAGGAGCAAACTCTGCAGGAGGCCTGGGAGTTAATAGTCATGTGATAGCCTGAAGGGTCAGAACTTCACTGTCCAGAACTGTGTCAACTGGGTCATGAGATGAAGGAAAAGCCACCTGCCCACCTGCCCGCCCCAGGCTAGCAAACAACTGCTGTCACAGGTCATTGTGAGCCCTTCTCCTGTTTTGGCACCGAGAGAATGATTTTTGTGATACCCAGTGGCTTAGCTGTGATGACATCTCTGCGTAAAAGCCTTTTGGTTCCTGAGCTCTTTACCCAAACAAGGAGGACACACTTAATCCTATTAATGACTTCTGGGCAGGAAACTGTATCCAGGCCTCCAAGGGAGCCCCTGTCTGAAATACTTCCATTTGTTCAGGTGCTTGGTGGTTGTTTATCAGCCCTTTCAAGAGATTAAGTTGTATGCAGGGGCAGGCCACTTAGGTAATGGATCCAAGGGGACCTGGGAATGTCAGGTGCCTGTGGAATGTGCGGCCAGCCAGCACCTCACCACACAGCAGCTGTTCCCCAACTTCCTGCCTTTCAGAACCACTGGTGATTGACAAGAGGGGCACTCACCTCATTTCTTGCTTTTCACGCATCCCTTCCACTCACAGGAAGTACAGTTCTTGCCCTAAGGAGTGTCCTATGTATGTTGGGGATCAGTGGTGGCAGGGTTCATAGACATGTGAGCAAACGACTTCTCTATCATGGAAACAAGGGGGTAAGTACATCCCGTCCTGAGTGCACAGGGGTGGTAACTGCTCCACCCTGAGACTTCAGGGAAGGCTTCCTGGAGGAGGAGAACTGAGAGCTAAGAAGCTGAACTCTTCCCCACTGAGGGAAGGTCTCTGGAGGAGCCTGTGAGATGGAGTTGCCTGACTTTGGGTTTGGTTCCGGCTTTAGCAAGAAGGCTGGGAGAATAAAAATAATAGCTTCCTCATCGAGTTACAGGAACACGGCTGGTAAAGCCTCCACAAGATGCTGGTGTTCCAGGAACGCCATTATCGGTTCTAGGACGCTGTTGCTCTAAGCCCCTTCCTTGAGCGGTCAGAGAACAGAGACTGGCCAAGAAGCCTGGCTCGCAGAAGTCTCTTTAAAAGGGGAGGGACGGTTCCTCAAGCCACGCCCTCCTCTCATTAATATTGAGTTATCGTGAATATTGATGTGGGGGCGTGGCGCCTCGGCCAGCTGGGCTTACCAGCCAGGGGTTCCCGGTTTCACTGAGAGGAAAGTGACAGAAGCTGTGCAGAGGGAGACGCAGAGAAAGCGCAGCGGCCGGCAGCCACACAGTCTCGGGGGAGCGCTCAGCTCCCCCACCCCCGGCTCCCACCCGGTCCGGGGGGCTCCTCCAGTCGGCAGCCCCACCCCTGGGCTCCCCATGGAAGGCAGCTTTGCCCCGGGAGGAGCAGGAGGAGGAGTCGGCTAAATGCCCACGGTGCGCCCAGGGCCCCTGAGCCCAGCCCGCTCTGCGCCGCAGCCCTAAGGCCCCCGCGCCCCCGACCCGGGACTGCGCCGCCTCCGCCCGCCCCTCCCCCGGGGCTTCGCCCGGGACCTGCCCCCCGCCCGCTCGCCCGCGCTCAGGCAGGAGCTCGGTGCTGGGCTCGCCGCCGCCCTGGAGTGAGGGAGCCCCGCCAAGGGGGTCCCGGAGCCGGCCGCGATGGACGCTGTCTTGGAACCCTTCCCGGCCGACAGGCTGTTCCCCGGATCCAGCTTCCTGGACTTGGGGGATCTGAACGAATCGGATTTCCTCAACAATGCGGTAAGCGAAGGGTCTCCTTCCCCACTGCACAACTCGCGGCCCTCGTCGCGGCGCGCTTGGGCCCCCAGAAAGACCGGACTACATACACCTCATTTGGGCAGGAGCCGGGGAGGGGGCTGGGTGCAGGGTGTCCTGGAGGAACACGTGCTGAGAGCTCTGAGATTTGGCGAGTAGGTCCCTCGACACCTCCCTTAACCCGGATCCTGGACAGGAGGCTCGAGGCTTGGGCCAGGGCGCGCCGCTCCTGGGGGTTCAGTTCGTGCAAACATTGACCTCCGCCTTCTAAGAGAAGGAGATTTCGAGGAGCCGGGGCCACCGGATTCTGCGATATGAGCTTGAGAAACACCAATTTTGCCCCCACCCATGTCTCCTAGCTGTCCCTTACCCGCCCCAGGGTTCTGGGACCTGGTCCGGCGCAAAGTGGCGGCGCCCTTTCTTGCGCCCCCTTTAGGGCCTTGGTGGCTCGGCTTCTGTATCTCCGCTGGGGGGCGCAGAGTGGAGCTTCAGAGGCCCAGAGACCCGACGATGCTCTTAGCGGGTCGCAGCCAGACCCAGGTTCGAAACCAGGCCCAGAAACTTAGGGGTGATTCCTTGACTACCCCGGAGAGTCAGGACCAAGACCTCCCAGAGAGGGATCTGAGGCTCAGGGCAACACAGGATGATTGTTCTGCTGGAGGACTTCTCTCCATCTCTGTCTCTAGGACACCGTGCTGTGTCTCTTTCCTCATGTCTCTTCTGAGTTTCTCTCTGTCTCTGAGTCTCTGTCCCTCTCCCCCGCCCCTCCTCCCGTGATTTCATGACCGTTTCTGACTTGGGCTTGTCTTTCTCCTTTCTTTCTCTTTCCCTCCCTCCCTAAGGAAACGTGGCTCTCTCTTTTCTTTCCTCCCTCCCTCCCTCTCAGGCTCAGCCTTAGGCCTAGATGGGGGAGGGGCACGGGCTCAGTAAAGGAGGAAATATCTGGGTTCAGAAGGGCTTGCCCTGATCTCAAGAATCTGGGAGATTTGGGGAGTCTAATGAAGTACCCTCACACACACAGCAGTGACCACCAGTTGCGCCAAATTCATAAATGCGCTCCTGCATTTATGCACACACACTCACACACACACTCAACCCCTGGTCAAACACATAAAGGCCTCTCTACCTGCTGGCTTCTACCTTCTTTAAGATAAACTTGGCCACACAAGAGTCAAGTCCTTGGCAGACTGGGCATCTTGCACTTCCTTCTAAACTCCCTGGTGAAGAGATTGATGGGGGCATACATTTCTAAGAGACAGGAACCTGAACTGGGGAGACATGGGGTCTGAGGTCTCTCTGGTTTCCCTTATATAGCACATCTGTGTTACCTGCTCTCTTAGGAAGGCCCCTGGTCCCAGTTAGACAAACAGGCTAAGAGGACAAAGAGAGCTTACACTGGGCAGAGAGGACTGGAATCTAGTCCTGGCTCTGCTTCCTCTGTGAGCTTGAGCCATGTCTCCCACTTGCCCCCATCCAGGCCTCAGTTTCCTTGTCTGTAAAATGGGGAAAGGTTGGGTCAGGTCTTTCTAAGGATGGTTCTGGAATAGCTCCTAGGAATCAAGCAGTGGATTTCTGCAGCTCCACACACCCCCTTGGTACTGACAAGAAATCTGGTGAGAGAGAAGAGGGCTTGCTGGAACTCGGCCCATCTGATCCAGGGGTGCCCTTGAGCCCCCTGCGAGCTTCCCTCAGCCCTTGGCAGCGCTGGTGAGGTTTTGAATGGACTGTGCTCCACCCGCAGCTCCTCAGCTCAGCATCCCCAGCTGCTCCTTTGGTCCAGCGCAGGGAAGGAGCTCTGATTGGATCAGACAGTGGTGACCAGCACAGGGACACGGGGGAGGGAAAGTCCTGCTGGGCACACTCCTGCCCTGATGCCTGGGAAAGGCCAGGTGAGATAGGAGAGAGGGAAAGGTATCTAAAGGCACCGAGAAAGATCTCCCCAGCTAGGAATCGGGAGATTGTGCCTGGCTATGCTTCTGCCGCTGGCCAGCTGGGCGGTTCAGACAAGTGGTTTTTCTTTTGGGCCTTGGTTCCCTCATCCAAAAAATTAGGGTATCAGAACCTTCCCCATGACATAATTTATTGGTGCATGATAATTTTACATAATAATGGGACTCATTATGTCGTATTCATACATGCACATAATTTGCTCAACTCATGGCATTATGGTAAAGATTCAGTGAAAAAATCAATGTAGCCTAAATAAAGCCTGGCATATAAGAGTCCACAGCCGAATTGTTCCAGAGACTGGATGGGGTGGTAGTGGGAGCTACTCAGCCAGGGGTGCCTTCTCTGGGGCTTCCATTTCCATGCTAGGGTCCTTTCTGGCAGGGATCCCAAAGCAACACTGTCCTGACTCTCTCTTCATTGTGCAAGAGGACAGGAAAATGTTTCCAGGGGTGAGGACAAAAAAAAAAAAAAAACAGTATATGTACAAAAGATGAAAAAAAGTGTTTTCAATCTCCCTAAAAATCCAGATCTAGGCCTTTAAGTCATGTGGAAAACCTAGAGCTCTGTTGCTCTAAAAATAAGAAGCCAAGTGTATGCTCACCTTGACTCAGTCCGTGAGAAACGCCAGCACACACACAGGACCCTGAGGACACACAGTCAAGGCCTGCGGGTTTGCAGGTGGCTAAGGTGCTTTTTCTTCTGTGAGACCTTCGTGTGGCTACAGTCCTGTTCTCGTGATTCTCAGAGACCGCCCTCCCAAGTGCTTCCTTCCTGCCAGATGTGGGGGCTTCTCCTCCCTGCCCAGTTTCTGATGTACTCCCCCTTCCACTGTACCCTGAGATCAACCCTTAGCCCCTGGGTATGCATAAAAAAAAGGTCTGGATTGAGAGTTGGAGCAGAGGACCAGAGGGAGAGCAGGCCGTGGCACCAGGAGGTGGAGACACTAAGTCTGTGCGTGTCTTACCCTCATCTTGCTAAGGGGAAGGAATGGCTGTTTCTCCAGAGGGAGCTGGCTCTGGATCCCAGAGAGCACCAGCTGGGAGGGGGTGGGGAGGTCGAGGAGGAAGAGGAGGAGGAAGAGTTCTGTTGTCTCAGAGGGGAGCAGCAGGAAGCTGCAGGGATGTTTGCCCAGTACACTCATTCACCTCGAGCAGCTGGGGAAGCCAGGTGTGGGAATGGCGGGGACCCAGGGACCAACCCCAGGAGAAGGCAGCTGGGGGAGCTGCGGCTGATTGCTGCTCCCCAGATCCCCAGCCTGGCTTCTCCTGAGAGAACTGGGGAAAGCAGAGAACCACCCCCATCCCCAGCCTTTGGAGGATTTAGGGAGATTAGAGAAGTATTCGTGTTTGGATGTGTCTGTGTGGGTGGGCCTTTTACGGTCCTCAAAAGGGGCGGGTGTGTGTGTCTTTAAATTCTCACAACAGGAAAGAGGACAGAGGGCCAGGGCACAGAGCAGAGTAGAATCCACTAGAAGAGAATGGACGAAGAAAAGCTAATGGAGGAGCCCAAGTCTTAGGGCTTCTATTCAAAAAGCAAGACTTCCTCACACACCCTCTCACCCAGACCCTGAGTTTCAGGTAGGGTTTCTTCTGTTTTGTTTTTGCCTCCACTGTTGAGGGACCAAGTTCCTCAAAGGCAGGGGCCTTGCTCTCTGTCCCCAGGACCTAGCACGGTGCTTTGCACGGGGTAGGCCGCAACCAGCTGTTGATAGCTGGATGGCTGGATGAATGAATGAATGAGGTCCAGGCCAGACTCCACATTTTTCAGGGATAAGAGAAAAGAGTGCTTAAGCCTATCTGCTCCCAGTCATCAGTGTCCAGCAGCTCCCACTGTCTCTGAGATTCAGGAAGTGCTCTTCATAGTTTCCAATGAGTTGTCATTGCTACACAGGCTCTTGCAGCCCCTGCTTAAGGACAGACTAGAACTGGCTGCCCCGTGAAGATTTGAAGTTGTGGCTCAGACCTTATCTTTGAATATGGCTCTGGGGAGTCTGTCTTCCTCAGTCTGGTCTTCTTTGACTTGCTCTAGGATTCTCAGAGCAATGCTCACCCAGCTTAAAACTAAGCCTGGTCCAGCCCTGCCTCAGGGCCTTTGCATATGTGGTTCCTGCCATCTGAAATGTTTTCCCCCTCTGTCTACTCCATCACAGCCTCCCAATCTCAACTCAAATATCACCTCTTTCACAGATACCTCCCCAACCACCTAAAGTGGGACCCCCCAATTATTTTCTGTCAATTCTTTGATTTATTCATAGTTCTGATCCAAGTGTTTTCATTGACTTATTATCCTTTTCCTCCATGAGAAAGTAACTTTCAAACTTGTCAGTTTCACACATTGCCCAAAACCTAGCACAGTATCCTGATGCCAGATATAATAAAACTCACCGTAATGCAATAAGTCAAGTCTACAGTTTCCAAATCATGTAAAATATGGAGTTGTGTTCCTGTAGGATTAAAAGCAGTGTGTTTCAGCTGCTCTGCGCTGTCACTGAAAACACAAAAGTAAACACTGTAGCTTCCTGTGCACCACGGGCCAATCGGAGAGCCAGCCCCTCGGAGCAGGAGGAGGCCTGCCTTCCCAGGACCACAAAATAAGAGACTTGCCCACTTTTTTTTTTTTTTTGAGATGGGTCTGGGCACAGAACAGGGACCAAGTTTCAGACACATTGTAGAGGACACTTCTCTTTATAAGGAATTACTGTATTTGTAGAGAAAATTACTCTAGGCTGGGTCAGCCCCTGTAGTGGAAGTAAAAACTGATAAAACTACAGCAGAAGAGGCCTGAGGGTTTAAGAAGTGCCCTGAAGTTCCAGAAGGGGCTGAGGGTCCTCAGGGTCTTGGCCTGGCCTACCCTGAGTGGTGGGGATGCGGGTCCCCACAGGATGCTGGCTGCTCCCCAATCTGTGTGAGCCCACCCCACTGCACCTCCACCTTCCTGGACCAGCCAGGATCCCTCGTTCATTCACTAAAACACATGGCCATCCCTTCAACAACTGGACACCAAAAGGACATTTTTGCAGGTGCCAGGGGTACATG